GTCTACAATTGGGTCTTCAATGTTTCCCTCCCCGACATTCATATGTACAATAGCGTCTTTATCAGGCACATATGCTCATCGACTTCTCTTATTACTTTTATTATCTTGAACTCGAAATCAGTGAAAGGAGAACTCAGTTTCTTCTTTTTTCTACTCTGTCTGCCCTTAACCCTTTGTATTAAGCTCAGAACGGACCGTTTATGAGAGCCTTCCACAATGTCTCCTTCAACTGGGGAGGTTTGTTGGGTTCCCTCTTCTCCCACAGAAGCTAACTGTTGGGTTCCCTCTTCTCCCACAGGAGACAACTCTTGTGCTCCCTCTTCTCCCACAGAAGACGATAGCTGGGCTCCCTCAATGTTCTCCTGGGCTCCCTGTTCTCCCACAGGAGACAACTATTGTGCTCCCTGTTCTCCCACAGGAGACGATTGTTGGACTTCCTCAATGTTGAACTCATTATATGCAGCATCATGAGGACTTCCAAAATGAGGGGAGGTTGCTTGGGCTTGGGCATCATCTACTCCCACCTCTTCGCCTTTATTAGTTGAAATATTTTCAGATTTATCAAACTTATTTTGTAGCATTGACATTTGTCCCTCCAAACTTGACACTCCAACAGTTATTGTATTTAGGGTCCCCTGAAATTCAGTGAACCATTTCTCTTGCCCTTTCAGCAGATCAATTATTAATTCCATGTTTTTATTCATTTTCGTGTACATTGTCTCTGGGGCAATGTCGCTTGAAACAACTGGCCCCATATCAAATGATATAGTTGTCTCAGGTTTACCTTGGAATTCCGGTACTGGAACTGGACTGGGTAATCCTACATCTGGATTTGAGAGCAGATTGAGCTCATCCTCTTTCAGATCCAAAATTTGATCATGAACCTGCAATTTATTTCAAAAAAATACGCTTTAATCATTAAAACTCTCAAATAAACATAAGCTTTTATTTTTTAATAACAATTAAATGTAACTTGTTTGTTCAGTATTCAGCCTCTTAAAGAGGCTATATTAATCTGTGATGCGTTCCAGCTGACAGTTGTTGGCCACCTCAACATTTGAGGTATGGTCTCGGGAGTGGCAGGAGTAACCAAAGAAGCATGCTCATAAAACCACAGGTGTGTAAGAGAAAAGTCATATTCAGCTTTGCACAAAGAAATTAATATTTATTGACGTTTATACGAGATACTAACCGTTAGCAAAAAAAGAAAATCATTTATATATCCCAAAGGTCGATTTTGCCTTATTTTAATGGCTACTGCATTAATTGGCTCAATAAGGAATTCACAGAGCGCAACAGGCCAATTAAATGAAGAAAAGGTATGTACATTCTTGCCAAAGGTGTAAAGTCCTTTGGATACACTGAAATTGTTGGAAGTAAATAATAAATTTGATAAAAAATAATTTATATACTATTGATTAAAACGGTTAGAAGACTCCCCAGTTCCAAAGTTCAAAATATTATCCCTCATTTGGCGGGCATCCACACCACTTGATGAAACTTTCTTCCACTTTGGCACTTCTCCTCTATTTGGCATGTCAATCAAAAATTTAACTTCAACAGGATTTATTCTCAGATCTTTCATACCCATTTTGATAACCATTCTTTCATGTTGCTAGCAATGCAATATTTGCAATGTCAGGACATTGTCTTGGGGATAAGGTGGAATAACAAAAAATTGATCAACATTCATCATTTTCAGCTCATTCCTGATGTCTTCAGATAAGACAGGTCTGACTTTATCGAGCACATCTCTCACTACGGACGGTCGACATCTACAGCTCATATACCTTGGGTTCACAAACCTACATAAAGCAAAATAATGCAAAAAAATATTAGGTATATTCAAACCTGCATAAATAAAAAAAATGCAAAAAAATGTAAGGTATATTCAGGTAGTATAAATGGAATTATTATAGTAATATTTAGATATTATTCTGGTATTATTTCGAGTGTATTATTTAAGTATTATTCTGATATTATTTCAGTATTATTTTGATATTATTTCAGCTGTAGAAATGAAATTTAAGTTTTATTCAATCTTCAGGTATTACTTAGGTAATATTTTGGTAATATTAGGTAGTGTTAAGTAGTGTTAGTTTGGTCTTATTTAGGTAATATTCAGGTGATATTGTTGCCCAATAACAACGTGAGTTAAAATACTACTCAAATATTACTCAAATACTACTCAAATACTACTAAAATATTACCCAAAAACAGTCACTTTGAACTAAATACCTGAGTGATTTTTTACTCATATACTACTAAAATATTATTCCAATATTAGGTAGTGTTAGTTTGGTCATATTTAGGTAATATTCAGGTGATATTGTTACTCAATGACAGTGTGAATTAAAATACTACTTAAATATTAATCAAATACTACTAAAATGCTACTAAAATATTACCCAAAAACAATCACTCTGAAATAAATACTTGAGTGATTTGTTACTCATATACTACTAAAATTTACTCCAATATTATATGGATGAATTTCTACACTCTGTTAACAATTTTTTCACTGAAAATACCAAAATAAAATTTACTTGGATGAACCCTCTCGAATTTCCTTCTTCTTATGCTCTTTTGCTTCTTTTTTCATGGGTTTATCAGCCTCCATTGTCGATTCCTCTTCATTCTCCATTATCAACGGCTCTTCTGTCTCCATTCTCACAGGGCTATTTTTGGTTTTCGTCTGTCTGGGCTCGTATTCCATCTTCCAATGGAGAAAGCATGATTTTCCTTCGACCGATGAACAACAAAAACCCTAAACGATTGTCGAACGAATGAAGGTGTTGTGCGGGCTCGGGCGACATTTAGCTTTCTGATGATCTGACCTTTTTTCTGAGGCGCGCGATTTAATTTTCTGTTGCTTTAAGCTGGGCTCGGGCCGGGTCACGCAGTAAGAAAACAGGCTCAGGCGACATTTAGCTTTCTGATGATCTGACTTCTTTTCTAGGCGCGCGATTTAATTTTCCGTTGCTTTGAACTGGGCTCGGGCCGGGTCACGCAGTAAGAAAACAGGAATTTCATTTTTTTTAATTGTGGGCCCACATTTCCACGTGTAAAATTTTTATTGGACACCGCACGCACAGAATAAGCACTCCCAAGCAGGGCTTATACTCTCCCATGATTTATTTTAACTTGATATGACATAACCACACAAATTTAAACAAGAAAAGCATACAACTGACACAATTAAAAAGAAAAACATTAGATAAATCACAACACACTTTTTAACACATTATTCTTACAATTGTTGCATTCATTTCATGAAAGAATTAAAAAAATTACATATATATCATTCAAAATTTCTTATTTATAAAACTAATAGTTGTTGCATTCATTTCACGAAAGAATTAAAAAAAATTACATATATATCATTCAAAATTTCTTATTTATAAAACTAATATAGAATTTTCTTAAACTATTGTATGTCATCAAGAAATTTAAATGATCAAGCACGTTTCTCAATGCATTATGGATAAGAATTTTTCAATATTTAAATTCAAAATCATTCAAGCTATAATTTCACTAAAGTTACAATTAAACTAAGCATCTCGATAATACGAGCCTAATGACAACCATTAATTCCTATTCCAAATAAGCTCAGATCAAACACTTGAAATGTAACTAAGAGCTTAGGAGCTTTAATTGTAAATTTAAATAATATCTAAATTTGACTTGCTTATATTCAAATAACAAGTGGCTTGATGGGAGGAATCCGAGCCTAGGATTTCTTAATTATGATGTCGTTAAGACACTTGATTGTTGAAAGTATAACCTATGATGAAAGAAATCGATTAATATTATCAGATGGATTGTTTTAAGATTATGATTAGTTTAACAAAATTTCTCTTCAAAATCTATAAATAGGTCTTTATTTTTCACATAAAGGAGAGGAGAATATAAGAGTGAGCTGACGACTAAGACATAACTAATGAAAGCAAATACAAAAGTTTGACCATCAATCATTGTCAATAACAACAAACAATTGTTGCAGTCAGCTACAGTTGTTGTAGCAATCAAATATAATTATTTTAGTCAACTACAATGGCTATAGCCAACCAACTAATATATAACTATGATTCTTAATTTTATAATACAATCTTTTCAAATTCAAAAGAAGAGTCAACATCTGCACTTTCAATTTTTAAGTTAATTATTTTGATTGAACTAGACCCCGTAACTTTTTCTCTTTTCTTTAAAAGATTTTTGACTAAGAAAAAAAAATTGAATCTCTTACATTTCTAACTATGAACAAAAAAATCACAGTGAGCAAAGTCTTAAAATTTTTCTACTACTGAAAATTTTCTAGCACATAATAATAGAATTTTATGGCACGCAACAATTATAAAACTCATTAATTTATGTGTCTTGAATAATTTTTTTAAAAATTGACAACAATAGAAAATAAGGATTAGATTTTTCTTGTGAATCCTGATATTTGGATATATATTTAAAAATAAAGACGGGCAAATATTAAAAAAAAAACAAAAATTTCAGCGTTATGCATCTAATTGCTAAAAAATATGTTGGAAGCAAAAAATTTTTGCCAAAGAAATACAAAAGGGCAAGTTACAAACATAGCATTCAAACTTTACATTTGTTGAAATATCACTCGTCTATCACAATGTGCAATCATCTTTCCCAATGCTTAAAAAGTACAAGAAAATTCTAATCCGTATCTTTTTCATTTCGTTAAATTTTCTATATTTTGATTGTATCATACTCAAATACACGAGTTCAATATTTCATTCTGAACGCCTAAATGTAAGTCTTAACAATAAAAATGTTTTCTTTGATCCAAGCATAAATCGCCTAAAAAGCTTTGAATGCCATAACTTATTGAAAGAAAAAATTGATTCATAATTTCCTAATTAAAAAATTTAATATATACCGAAATTAAGGATTTCTTTTCAGGTGAGTCCAATAAAAATTAGGCATGATTCCTCGTATAATATACCCATCTCAAAACAAATTTACACACACAGATATATATATATATAGCAAAAAATTTCAATCCCATAACAACTTTCACCGAACCCAAACAATAATTATAATACTAATAAACGACGCACATAAGACCGAATCAAAAAATTCAGTTTAGTTCATCCCAAAACATAAATTCCATTAATCCCCCACACGCCTACCTCGGCGACATGGTTGAGTTGCTACAGTTCGCCTGCGAATGGGCGCGGCTCTGAACCACCGACGACGACGTCAGCGCTGAAGAAGTGAGCTCGTCGTAGAGAAAACCTCTCTTCATGGCGTTATACACAGTGTGGAGCCCTTCTTCGACAAATTCCAGAACAGCTTGAGGCATCGGCGGCTCATTTATCTCCACCGATCCTTCCAACATTCTCACCACCTCTCCCATCGATGGCCTCACCATTGCCTCATCCTGAATGCACCAGAAGGCAGCCTGCAGAGCTCTTACCACCTCTTCTTGCTCTATGTGGTCTTTTAGTCGCTTGTCTGCTGCTCTCATCGCCGTCCCATTTGTCATTTCCTGAAGAAATTTTTAAGCAGATTTTGTTTGAAGAAAGTTGGAATAAAATTGATGTTTCAAGATTTTAACTTCCACTAGAAATTCTAAAGTTAGGCTCTGTTTAGGGTTTTTTCTTTATGTTTTTATTAAATAAAATATTTATTTAGGAAAATTTACATGCATTTACATGTCTAACACCAAACTTTTAGCTCTTACATAAGTATATATATTATTTTATTTTTCTTAAAATTAAAATAATAATATCTTTGATGTGATATAAAAAAATTTTAATACTATAAATGTAAATCCTTGTTTATTTAAAACTTTTTATTTATTTCTTTCGTTATAATTTTTAAGATTGTAAAAAATAATTTTGAATTAAAAAAGATAATTTTGAATCAGGGCATGATGCCTCTGCCGCCGTCACTATCAATCCACCATTCCCGCCATCAACCTCATGATATGTTGCCATGGCCCCTTACACTCACAAAACTGTTTATTTGATATTCAATGCAAATCAAAGCACTATATTTTATTTCATTTATTAGGACGCACATGTTCGAAGCACATTATAATTTGTACTATAATTATCACTAAAGCTAAATTTCCTAAAAAATAAATAAATAAAATAAGAGGTTCAAAAGATAGAAGAAATAAAGATAGTAATGAGCACTTTCTCAATCATATCTATCCCTTCCTCTCTAAATTGGCATGCACCAAAACTCAAATAAATGATTTGGAATATCTACTTTTGTTTCAGATCAGTGAAAATAGATGATAAAATTGCATGACATATTCGATTAGTCTTTATCTCCTTTGTTTGATTTTTTATTCCATTAAGTGATTTTACCCAAAAAAAAAAAAAAAAGATATTTCAATAATAAATATAAGGCTATTGCACAAGAAAAAAACATTTCATATAGGAATACATAAAGTTATTTTTTCAAAATGCCTAATAGATGCACCAATACTTGGCATATCTTACATAAACAAAACCCAACTTTGTTCTACTTCTAATTAAAATGATTTATTTATATATTAAATCTTTTGTTGTTTAATAAATATTTCATTTTTAGGCGAAAGCGTTTATTTCTGATGAACCATTAATATGAAGAACATGAATCAGATGGGAGAAGTCATGCCTCGTTAGGAATTTGTTTTAAAGAAAATATTCATCAGCAGCAACAATATGCGTCAACTAATTAGGTGCTAATAAAGGAGACATGTCAGCGGATCAATTGATGACAATAAATAAATAAAACTTGGCTTGAATTTCAACATATGAATTTTGAAAATTTTTTTATTGTTCAATACAAACCTTCAAATACGTCTACAAAACATGTATGTATAATTCATTCCTTAAATGTTGCCTTTTTAACATATATATATATATATATATATATATATATATATATTGGGATACTACGTAAGTATACATATGGTTATAAGAGCAACGCAGCAATCCTCTTTGAGAAAATTGTCAGTCTACTCTTATAAATTAACAAATTTGTAGCATTATTTCTAAGTAATATATTCGTAATTTTGGCTCTTTAAAAAAAAAGTAGACATAAAGCTTAATTTTTTGCATTTGCATTCATTCTAACCAATTCCTATCTATTTACATAACAAACATCTAAACTCTAAATTTTAAATTTATACAACTCAAATCTTTAATATCATATTGAAAATATCATCATTTTAATTTTAAAAAAATAAAAATATAAATTTTCATGCATAAATAAGACTGTATGGGTGTAAAAACTAAATTATAGGTGTTAAATAAATAAATAAATAGGAATTGCGTGTTGTTTAGGTAATATTCCTTTTTTTTTTGTTTGTTCCGTGTCTTACACTTAGTTTGGTCAATCAAACTAAGTAAGCCATATCTCCACTAATCCACGTCAGCAGTAAATAAAACAATAAAATATATGTAATTTTATTTGCAAAATTTTTCGAGATGTGAAGCATTGCTTAATATGAAAAAGCTATTATGTGCAAGTTATGTATTACAAATCAATATAAAATAGAACACTTCCTCTCAGTTATGAAAAGAAATTATTGGATGCTTATAGTATAGAATTATATGTATGGTTCCTTGAGAATCTAAAGGTTCTTGTATGTTTCAGCTAATTCAATAGAAAGCTATGTACTCATCGTCTTATTAGAATTTCCCTCTCTCACACACATAAAAGCCTTTTAAAGTGATTTATATACCTCTCTCTCTCTCTCTCTCTCACACACACATAAAAGCCTTTTAAAGTGATTTATATACATGCCACACAATTTTTATTCCTAATTTTTAATATTTATATTAAAACATATAAAGTTAAGATCACATAAAAATGATAATAACAAAATAAATTTGAGGCATTTACATACATACCACCCAATGCCTATATATTTACATATCAACAGCCTAAATTATGATTTTTTTTTTATATTTATGTCATCCAAATCTTTCATATCACATCAAAATTACCATCATGTTAAGTTTTAGAGTAAAATATAACTTTTCATCCATGTGTAAGGATATATATGGGCAAGAAATAAAATTTTTATCTTAAATTTGTAAATATATAAAAATTGAGTGGTATGTATGTAAATCTTCTTATATTGTTTGATTTAATTAAGTCACTAAAACCGTTATTTTTGTGTGTAAATATTCCTAAAATAAATTAGATCATTGGTATAAATGTAATTTGATTTGGACTTGAAAACAGAAGTACCTTGAATGCAAAGCTAGGGTAGAAAAACTCTTCCGCATCAAGCGACATATCCAGATTCCTCCTACCTCCAATAATCTCCAGTAGCAGCACTCCATAGCTATAAACATCAGCCTTCACTGTGATGGGCCGATTGCTCACCCACTCCGGCGCTAAGTATCCTCTCGTACCTCTGACCATGGTGATCACGTGAGAATGCTCTCTACTCATCAGCTTTGCCAGCCCGAAATCCGAAACTTTGGGGCAGAAATTCTCGTCCAAGAGTATGTTCTCAGGCTTGATGTCGCAGTGAATGATTCTGTTCTTGCACTGTTCGTGGAAGTAGGCTATTCCCTGAGCGATGGAGATTGAGATTTGAAAGCGGGTTTTCCATTCCAGGACTCTATTCGGATGGTTGGTTGAAGGAAATATCCATTTGTCTAATGAGCCGTTGCTCATGTACTCGTATACGAGGAGCCTGCTCAGCAGAATTGTAGGTGAAGGTGGAAGACGATGGGTGTTATGATCAGTAGAAGAAGCAAAGAGAAGACTCAATATGGGAGAGAAGATATGAAAATTCACTAAATGAGAACCTAGATCTTTTCAAGGAACATGTACATAGCAACCACTTAATTCCATTCCCATCAATACTTTTTAACTTCTTACATACATGTCACTTTACCTATACATGAAAATATGTATTTCATATTTTTTTATTCAAGTGATATAAAAATTTTGCGTGGTATAAATATAAAAAATAGTGTTTAGGTGTTGGATATATAAATACATATGAATTGGGTGGAATGCATGTAAATTGCCAGATTATTGTTCATCTTACCGGTGAGATCTCTCAGAGCAGAATCCACAAAGATTGACTAAGTTCATGTGATGCATGGCGCCTATGGTACTTACTTCCGTTACAAACTCTCTTTCACCATGAGGCAGCATCCTTTCAAGCTTCTTCACCGCTACCAGCCTCCCATCCCTAAGAGTTCCCTTGTACACACTCCCAAACCCCCCTGTAGATAGAGAAAACATGAAAATTAATTTTATTTTTTAATGAGTTTATGTAATTAAAAATTTACATGAGACTCCACAAATCACTCCAATCTAAAGTTCTGTTTAAGGGGCTTTTCGTCGGCAGCATTAGTAGGGTAGGTTGTCGCAATTCCAAACCTTTTTTAGTGTATTTGATGGTGAAATAAAAGAAATAGCAAGTAACGTTTTTAGAGATTTAAAATACCCAGAAATTTATGATTCCTCCCAATCGAAAATCACTCAATTCGAGGGATTTTTGAATCCGTGTTGTGGCTGCGCGTGATTGCTAATGGCCAACACCGTTCATAGCCACTGACACTGCCCACAACTGCCCGCCACCATTGGCCACTCTCGTCATAGCCGTCTCTCATCTCAGCCACCCGTCATCGTTATCACTGCCCGCTCGCTCCCATTCTCGTCAGCATAACAAAGCATTTGAAGCAATAACAAATGCAAAAAGAATATTTCAATGCATGCATCTATCTAATTTGCATCAAAACAGGTAATCCATGTAATATAAAATGTATAACTCCTCATTTCTAAATTACATCTATTTAAAAACATCTAAAAAAACAATCCCTTCATCACTTTCGTTTTATTTTGATGAGAAAATAATAATGGAACATGAAGCAATAAAGCTATGAGTTCTGATTTTCTTTGTCATGCAGTTTAGTGCAATTACCAGTCTTGTCTCACAGGTCTCTGAGAATAAATCATAATGCTCTCGGATCCTTCCAGTATTTTAACAAATGGTATAATATCAAAACTTTAGAAATTTTATCATATAATTTTTTTTTTCCAAATTATTCAATTTCAAGCCAATTCACATATGAAAAATTGCATTAAATAAAAGGGGCATTTACTTACAAACGACCCAATCCCTATGTTTTTACACATCTAACACCTAAACTTTATTTTTTACATTTATAGCGCCGAAATCTATCATATCACATCAGAAATACAACTAATTTGTCTTAAAAAATGTAAAATATAACTTTGGGAGATTTACATACCTAGCACATTAGGTATTTACACATCTCACACCAAAACTCTATGTTTGCATACATAGCACTTTTGTTTTTTAAACAGTACATAAAAGGGTGCCTTTCACTTCAAAAAAATGAAGAGGGTGTTACTTTTTATGTGATTAAAAATTTAAATGTTATGTGTGCAAATATGATAGTTTAGGTGTCAGATGTGTAATTACGTAATAATTGTGTGCTTTGTAAACAAATGCCCCTAAAGTCTTTCTGGCATAGGTAAGATTGCATGATGTTTAGGCGTAAGATATGTTAAATCATAGGGATTGAGTTGTATATATGTAAATATTCCAAAATAAAATAGATAAAAGAAAGATGAAGAAAAGAATCATAACCATTACCTGTTCCCAACAATCGCGAGAAATTATTAGTAGCCATCTGGAGATCATGGAAGGAGAAATACACAAGAGCTCCAGGCAGGCTTAGAGAACTGGAGATTAATCTCTCCTGCAGTTTCTTCCTCCTCCTGATGCTAAAACCCAGTAACATGACCAGCAGCAGTATGAGAGCAAAGAAACAAAACAACAACGGAATAATAATCTCATAATTATGGCTTGATGAACTTGTGGACCCTTCCTTTGATCTCCCACCTCCCTGTCCTGATTCACCTATTGTTTGATTTTCTCCAATCTTCATGTAAAGTGTGGAACTTGGATCCTGAAAACAGAGTCTGAATTTGTCTCAAAGAACAAAGATTTCTTGAAAATAAAACTTATCTATCGCTCTCATGAAGTTCAAATGGAAATAATGGAGCTAAATATTTCTCGAAGTGACATTGACGACGAACGATCCAATCATATATTTGAACGTAGCACATAATTCATAAGTATTTAAATATCCAACACCTAAATTTTCATATTTGTGCACAAAGCTTAAATATTTAATATCACGTCAAAATAGCATTATTATCATGACCTTTTAAAAGTGAAATGCACCTTTGAATGTATAGATTTAAAGCACCTAAATGCTATGTAAATATGAAAGTATAGGTGTGAGATGTTTTTTTTACTATTTAATTATTTAATTAGATGTGAGATGTGTAAATACATAAGAATTATGTGTTATGTGAATTATTTTTATATTTTATAAACGCCTATAAATTTCAATTTGTATATTATAAGGGTGTATGTTTGTGCATTGAAATTGAATTGATTCCTTTCTCAAATCAAACTAAAATAAAAAGCGGCATTTATATACATAGCATGCAATTGTTATGTATTTACATATTTCGCACCAAACTTTTATTTACATAAAAAATAATTAGATTAGGTGAAATACATATTTTCATTTATAGATTTAAAGTATCAAAATGTTATGAATATAAATATGAAATTTTAGGTGTGAAATATGTAAAAAAACATAAGAATTGTGAGCCATGTATGTAAATTTCCCTTGAAAAAAAAAATATAAGCTGAGCCCAAAAGAAATCGACATCTGATCAAACATTCTTATAATTATCCATAATCAACTCAAGATCAAATCATATGACTTTGAATGAACCCAGAACTAGGATCAAACTTGATCAAATTGTTCAGAGCCCTACCTGCAAACCCCCAAATAACAAACTACTGAGAGTCCAGCAGTAAGCCTCCTCATCCACAATCCCATAAACTGAAGCAACACAGTCACAGTCCAATAGACAACGATCCCCGCACTCAGAACTCGTCGACAAACCACTATAATTTGCTATCGTTGAAGATCCAGAGAAGTAGTAATTGGTCTGCGAAACCATCTCCATCTTCCTCTTCGCATTACAATCCCCTGAATGCGGCTGTAACTCCGGTAAATTCTTACAGCTCGCTCCAGAGTTATTACTTCCATTCAAAATACATATATTACTGCCACAAATTCCAGCAACCTGGCACGGATTTGACACCGCCGACCACAGACTCACCCATGTGTTGCTGCTGTTCCACTGATAAAGATGCAAATTTCCGTCCATTCCAATCGAGATTCGTCGGAGTGCCGATGAACTACTTGAATCGTTCTTGTGCACATATACCGCACCAGCTGCTGATTTTCCATACATGATGGCGAAATTACCGAAATTATCGAGCATGGCGACAACTTCTCCGGTGGCGTTGGAGATCTGAGGGCTGGACCAGTAGGAGTAATTCGTCTCGGATTCGGGTACTGGAATGTAATCTAATGCGAGGCTTAGTGATGTGTGCTGCTGAAGCATTTTGAGAGAGTAGTAGCCTAAAAGAGACTTCTTCGATGTAAGCTCAAGGGAAGCAGTGAGAGGCTGGTTTGGAAGGAGAGTGTCGGATGGATGCTTGAAGCTCTCCCATGCCGTTTGATTATCATTGATGCAGAGAAGAAAGTTGCCGGAATCGGACAGAATGGCGAATTCGATGCCTAGATTGCTTGTGTTTGAGCTCCAGATTAACTTGTTTCGGTCTAAAAGCTGCAGGTTTCCAGTTTGATCAAGCTTTACTATTGCTTCTCTCCCTACTAGAGTTTCTCTGCAATTCTTTTCATGTAAGTTTTCAGTCCAAAGAGGAAAATTACAAAGCTCATATTTGGCAATATGATGAAATGATAAAAATTTGAGAAAAAAAATAAGGCAAACTTATCATGATTGGAACAAAAAGGACTAATCTTTATTCTGATGTCATGAAAATCATAACTAGTAAATATAAAACATATGTAAGAATAATTTTTTAGTACCTGTTAGGAGACCATACTATGGTTTGATCACCTGGAAGACCAGCATACCATATTGCGAGAAGAAAATTATCATCCGAACTCAAGGAAGCAAAACCGAAAGCAAAGGCTTCATTATCAGATATCCATGACTGGTTTGAACTTACTGAAAGTCCAGAACCTAAGGGTATTTTTTCTGCTAAAGTTGCAGAGAAATGGAGAAGAGCTAGAATAAAGAAGACTTGGCTGAAGACGGAAGAAGCCATTTCTGCCAAGTAGGCATAAGGAAAAGCATGGAGGCTGATCTGTTATTTTGAGAATATAAGCTATGAAATAGATTGGTGAATGATTGGAGAGAGAGAGAGGTGGGAGAGAGTGAAGGAGAAGCTTACAAGTGTGCTTTAGTAGGTAAGCTACCATGGACAATAAGTCAAACATTTAGAAATCCTATTGTTGGTCGGCTGAGGATCAAGTTGGTAAGATGGTGCCAACTCAACATATGAGCAAACTAAGAAAAGTCAAGGTATTAGTTAATTTGTTGAAAGCGTGGTTAAAAATAAAAAAAACATAACAATGTTGAATAAATTTTTGGAAGATTTACATGCATACCCGTCAATTCCTATGCATTTACATATCTAACACCTAAACTTGAATTTTCTACATACATACCACCCTAGCAGTAATTCATTTTTTTCAAAGTTAAATTTGTAGTATTTTTTGTCTTATGAAAGATTATGTTGATATAAATGTAAAAAACTAAAATTTAGGTGTTTGATATCTAAATTCATAGGAATTGAGTGGTATGTATGTAATGCCTCATTTTTAAATAGACAATACATGATTGAATAGATGGCATTTGCCTGAAGAACTGTACATGGGTTTTAGGAGATATAAGAATAATCAAATAGGCGATATGACACATCATCCATAATTAAATAATGAAAATATGACACATCATCATAATTAAATAATGAAAGCTCACAAGGGAACAAGGGAACTTAAAATAGACCAAAAAAATTATAAAAATTATTTCATGAAAATTATGCAATATTTGAATAAATATTAAGCGGCCACTGTTATATATACGTCATGTTAGAATGCTATAAGAGAGATAAAAAGAAACTGAAGAAAGAGAGTGTGTGAAAAGAGATTCACTCAGTTCTTCTCATTTTCTATACCATATTTCTATTGTTACTTCTGGGGTAACTACTACTGAATATTTTTCCAATGAGCTAGATGTCACACACCCTGCATGCTAATAAAGTGACTCCTATGTGCTTTTGATTATAGTGGTAAAATTCTATATAAAAAAAAAGTAGACTGTAAAACTCCACAAAATAAATTCAAAAGAAAAATTATATTGACATTTTATTTCAGAGTGTTGATACTAGAATGGTTTACTTGAATAAATTTTAATAGAAAGACAAGTTGCATCATATAAAAATTAAGACATACCAACATAATTTGTTCGTCCAAAAAACTAATCGCTTTCCAACAATTTATTTGCTTGTATTCTCAGCAGCATAATTATGCCTAAAATATTGTTACCAACGAATTATCGCAAGATTGTATAAACTTTTGGCATCGATTATGCTAGAAATTTACTCAACATCAACAAATTTTATCCATTGAAATAATGCTGACAAATATGATTAAGTGATCATACAGATTCAAACCCCTCATATCGGCCTTGAAACCCTCCGTCCCACTCGCCTCTCAGTCTCTTTCAAGTTCTTTACTGCAGTCAAAGACTTCATCAATCATCACTTTTTCTTTGATCGTCTTGTCATTCAATTCATTGTCCCTTCAACTCTTTTACATAGTCATTTTTGAATTATTAACAAATTGAGAATACTTGAGGTTGGGTACAAATTGTATGGATTCAAATAAGTAATTTTCTCATAAATGGTGAAGTAATCTCGATCTGTAGAATGGGTAAACTATTCAAACAACCCACTTCACTTTAACCTACCTATTTAACATATGCCAGCTAAAAAACCCTAATATAATGCATTTACCACTACCATCCCAACCTTTCTACTGGCATCCCCTCGACCCCAATAAATCTAGTGTTGTCAAATAAAGCTGACTATTTGAGAACAACTGGTATTCGGCTCGTTAATTAGCTTATGTTCGACACACTTGTTAAGCCGAAACGAGTTGAACACTAACAAATTTTTTAAGCTCAAATATAAATTGGCCGATACGAACAAATGTTTATTCCATTGTGTTTGGCTCGAATTGGCCCGAAATATTTAAATAGGCACACACACACACACACACACACACACACACACACACACACACACACACACACACACACACACACACACACACACACACACACACACACACACACACACACACACACACACACACACACACACACACACACACACACACATATATATATATATAATTATTGAATCCAAAAATGTCTAGGAAACACGACCAAGCAATAGGGCATAGAAAAATAATAAAAGAAAAAGAAACAGTAAAGAACAGTAAAATGCGTAACATTTTTATTATGAGGAGCCCTTATTTAAAGGTACAGGGACAGGATCCTGTGGAATTACAAATCTTCCCTCTTATTATTGCTTTTACGGGATTCTTTAAGTAAATTTAAAACATTGAATATCATAAGATTGGTCCGATAACAAGTTTGTTGATCATCCATTCCAGGTCTCCTCATCAGTGCCTGGTGGATGATGGAGTCGCCGATCGCCTGGGTCATTAAGGAGTCAGTTGTCATGTCTTGAGGTACGTGAGTCTTTAGGATTGCTTGAAGGTGAACGTCTAGGCGGTCGCTCGAACCTTCCATCGGTCGTCTAACCTTTTACATGTTGAATGAATCTATAAATGATTGATCGTACACTCCATCAGTTGTCCACCTTTCACTTGTTTTCTCTTCTCTTGGCCATTGGATTGCGTTTAGATTCGTGCTGACATTTTTTTTGTATAAATATTTAATTCACCGATTCTCTTGTTTCTTGAAAGCAATGTTGCGAATAATAACAAGAGAATCTTTTATGACGCAAAAATAAAGCATGAATCAAATATATGGCAATATAAATACACAATAAATGACTTTTCTGGATTTTCATGCGTAGGCCACTATAAGTAGGCCATAGTGTAAGAGAGGCGTGATTTCTCTCCTTTCCTGCTTCTACTTCTGATCTCTTTTCTCTCCTTCTGTCCAAGTCTGCAACGATGTCCGGTGAGAGTGTCTCGTCCGTCAATAAAGATGTGCTTCTCAAGACCCTCAGAAGCTTGCGGGCTAAGGCCCGAAAATTAGGTGTGAACCGAAAGTCAGCCGATGAAGCTCTTGTGTGGGAAGTGAGCAAGAAAAGGGTGGTAAAGAAGTTGAAAGCTAGCAATCGCGAGGAACGGGTCCGAGCCAATTCTTTGGCAGGCTTGTTTACGGAACGGGGCCGAGAGCGGACCAAGGGTTTGTTCGGTTACCGTCCCTTCGGACATTCATTGAAGGTAGAAGATCCAGCCATAAGGAAGGCGCCCATCCAAACCATTGTGGAGCCCACAAACCCTCAGATTGTTATGGATAAGGTAACAGTCGGAGAAGAGTTCTCGCTCCCGCTGCCAAAGGATGGCCTCCCCCTCATGTGTGTTTCGCCAGGAAAATTCGGTAAGGAAGGTAATTCTATCACCACGTTCGAGTGGAATCACATTGTTGTTATGGGTTTTAAATTAAACATCATTAAGGACTTTATTCTTTCTTTGGTGCGGCTATCGAGATTTTGACGAATGATTCCTTTTGATCAGATCCAATTCCAGATCCCTCGAAGGATGCGACTGTTGGAGATCAGAGGACAGGCAGGGAGGAACAACCTCCCATGCGAGGGACAGGGGACTGACAATCAAGAGACTCCTGACACGGCGAGGGTTGAGGAATGAACGAAGATCCTCCGGTTGTCTTGTCATTTGCTAGCGCATTGTCTTATGGAGATGGAGGAGCTCTTTGCCTGAACAATGAGTCGCCCTCGAGGGAATGGTGATCACGGCATAGGCGAGATCATGGCGAGGGTTGATATGATGGAGAGAGAAGCTGCTTTGTGCGAGGCATTTTACGCTTTTCCGGGAGAGATGTTTGTTGCTCGAGTGAAAAGGACCCAAGGGTCCGACGCTTAGGCGTCAGTGCCACTTTATACCTTTAAGCTCCAAGTCTCCTTCCGATTTCCTCACTTCAATTTTTTGTAGTAGCTGCAAGATAAACACAAAAAAAATATTTCTTAAAATGCAATTTCATCCATTAAATTGTGTAGATAATTAAAAAATAGTAGCTAACTTATCAACACATCAGCATTCCCTCTAATCTCAGAGTTAGGTTTGTTTATTTTCTATGTCATAGTCCTTAGCACTAACTAGGGTATTAGACTAACCTGGTTTCTATATTTGGACTAGCCTATGGTAGGTGTATGATCCTCAATATTGATGTCAATATTGACTAACTTAGACTTTGTGTTGGATTTGACTAGGTTTGATTTTTAATTTTTATCTTAGCGTGTTTTAAACGATGAAGGTGTTGAGTATTGTGGAGCCCAGACCACATCCTGAATTGGCGATCTCGTGCATCTATGGAAATTATTTAGTTTTATAATTCTTTCGTTCCGGCCGAGTTCCTCGCCTGCACCTCTTTCCTTTTTCGGCTTCTCTCGCCCGGGATGTTTCCTTCTTCGGCTTCTCCGGCCCTCCTAGTTCCGTGAAAGGGTCCCGCTCCTCTCTCGTTTTTTGCAATATAAGGAACCTTGGAGATTCGCGAAGATCACCTACACAAACCTTTGCTTCTTCCATCTGGATCCTCTTTTTGTTCGGAATTGCAAAGAGCAAAACAAGTTGCTTCTCCCCTTTGCGTTGCTCCCTTGTTTGTTCTTCTTCGGTGTGACTCACGAGTAAAAAGAGAGAGGAGAGGAGAGAGGAAGAGAGAGAGGGAGAGATTTCTTGTATGTCGACAAAATTGACGGTATGTAATTCCTCAAAGTAATAAAATCCTCTGAAACCCCGCGGATATATGTAATTTACCGAACCACGTAAATTTGTGTGTTTCTCTATTTCACAATTTACTCGTTTCAATTTTTCACTTTATTGTAGTCGTCTTTAACAACAGAGGTTCAATATTTAATTCATATTTTTTTTGAATTCCTAGGATTGTCATTCATGGTGAAAAATTAAGATCTTCCTATGTTTTCTTTTATTTTATTTTTGTTTTTAAAGTTTGGATGTTTGTGAAGAGAACTGTCTTATGGGAGGTTCTTCTCCTTTTGTTTTACACATTTTTTTATT